CAGAAAATACTAAATAAAATAACCTATATCTAAGGTTTATGGAAAACTTCTGAAGTCTTAACATTTACCTGATATTAATGTGAACAAGTCACCTACCAAAAAAGTCTCTCTTCTCTTAAAGGAAAAAATCTCTGTTAAACTAGGCTAGAATAGGTGGGGACTGTGTAGTTTGGAAATGATTTTCCAGTACTCACATGGCTTGTAAGCAGTGGAACCATGACAAGAATCTAAGACTGTCTGATTCAAACCTACCTTCTGTCTCTGGACTGCTTAGTTTGAAACTTTTCAAATCTTCAGAAAAGTTCAAAGAATGATACATGGAACACCAGTATAGTCACAGCTGTGAATATTCTGCTACATCTGCACTCTCCATACACACAGGTTGGTTTGCTTGGGGTTTTTTCCCCTGAACTATTTGAAGTTGCAGGCACACTTCAACCTTAAACAACTTAACTGAACCAACATTTTTAACCACTGTCCCTTGCTGCCTCTTCTTCAAAAGGAGCATTCATTAACATGAGAACAAATTATTTGGATACAGTCTTCAAAAATCTGCACTGGCTCCCCACCTCCTACTGAATATAGTCGAATACCTTTAGAATAGTCTTCTTCTAAGAACAAATGAGACTGAAACTGCCTTTCTTTTTTTCATTCCATGCACCACTGTTCCAATCACGAGTCCATAAAAACATTGAGAATCGTTTGCTCTTCAAAGCCTTTGCTCATGTCATTCTTTTAGTATGGAATGTCTTCCCTTCTGTCTCCATTTATCTTGGTCTTTTTCTAATCCTTTAAGGCTCACCTCAAATGCCATAGGAGAAAGGGGCTGAAATTCTTCTAGGCTATGCTTCCCCAACATATGACATATAACTATTTTAAGTTTACATGTCTCTCAAACAAGAGTATCATTTCAGGGCTGACACCAAGTCATCCTCATTTCTACATAACCCGACACCTAACACAATGCCTCCCACTTGCTATGTACGGTTATATACCTATGTTTATTGAAATGAACAAACAGGTGAAGTTTCAAGTAAATATAATGAAGACCAAAAAAATTCCTTGTTTTCCAGTTATCACAAATGATTAACAATATCCATTTATGTCTGTTTTGGAGGAGTTTTTCTAGGGGGGTAAATTTGGTTTGTTTGTTTTTAATGGAGGTACTGGTGACTGAACCCAGGATCTCGCGCATACTAAGCATTCATTTTACCACTGAGCTATACCCTACCTCCCCGCACCCCATTTTCTATCTGTGAAGCAAAAAGAACCACTATAAAGCTTATATCCATAGCACAAGCACTAAGACATATTGTTTCTTATATAAAGCCCAATATAAGACAAAATAATAAAATACTAAGAAAATAGCTTAATGTAAAGCATTGTAAAATAGTTCCTTGCACAGTAATTCACTGTGTTCAAAAAGATTTCCTCTACATCTCTCACTTGCCTCCTGAATAAATCTGTGAACAGAATATGAATTCCTATTTACCAGTATGAGAAAAATCAGTTTAATCACTTGCTCAACTGGTAGGACCAGATTCTCAATCCTCATCTTCCGATTTTCAAGTTTAATTCTCTTTCTAAAATACCACATGGCCCCCAACTTTGTTTCCTTGCTAGGAGGTCTAAGGAGCTAGTTCAAAGCAATAATTTTGTGACCAAGCACTCAACTCATTTCTGAGTCTATTATTAATTTTAATAAGTAAAGGTAACAAACTACTTGAAGTAGGTTTGATAAAAGGATTAAGAATGAAATTACTTTTGTCTTTCATATTACATATGCATTGGTAACATTTTCGTTTTCTATTAAGAGCAATGATGTCGAATTTCCCTCTGTAGCTACATTTTGGTTAGAATAATTAGTGCCCCAGACAAAAGTCAAACAAGCCAAGCAGTCTCTGGCCTCCATTTACTTTTTCCTACTGGAAAAGCTACTCCCCAGCTATGTTCATAGCTCTTTCTCTCTCTCACTTCTTTTAAATTTTTGCTCAAATGCTGCCCTACTCAGTTTCTTCCTAGAAAAAACACATAAAATAGCACTACTGCCACAGCCATGCTTCCCTCATGGGCCCTTTCCTGTCTTGAACTCCTATGCCCTTTACTTTGCTTTTTTTTTCCTCCATGGCCCTTCTCACCATCTCAGACTAGACTTCTCTTTCTTGTGTTAATTGTCTGAACTTCCCACAAGAGCAGTGACTTGCTGTTTGGTTGACAGCTGTATCCCCAGAGCCTTGAACCAGGTATAGCACCTAGTAAGTGCTTAACAAATATTTTATTGAGGGAATGGATGAATAATAGTTTAAAAGTTATGTGGTAAAGAAAACAGTTACTCCTCCCCCTCACCCTGCTTTATGGTAGCCAAGTTTGTGTCAAGAAATTAGACTTTGGAAAGCATCTGCCTGGCAGGGAGTGGGTATGCTCATTAAAAGGGACAGCAATGACCCCTGATGAATCTAATCTAGATCTTGCCAAAGCCCTGAAGAGGTCATCTCCGGATCTTCCCCCAGGAGGCAGCAAATTACAGTACAATGATATCTAACATGGAGATCTGTTAAAATGCAGATTCTCAGGCAAATCCAGGAATGAGATGTAAGACTGCACCTTGGATGATTCCAAGCCAGTGGGCTGAAGGACATATTTGGAGAATTACTAGGTACATCTGGAGTCAGAAAGATCTCCATTCAGATCCCAGCTACATTGTTCAACAGCTGCATGGCACTGGGTGAAAAACTTCATTTTACTCAGCATTAATTTCTCACCTGTAAAATGGGGATAACATTCCCTAACTTGCAGTGTTGTATTAAAACTTATGCATGTAAAGTACCTAGCACAGTACCTAGCACATAGCACTTGCTCAATAAATCACAGCTACTAGTCTCTGTCCCTTGAGATTACTGAAGGAAAAAAAATAGGCTTATTTTTTTCCAGCACGTTTGGCTCTCCATTTCTTACTGACTCAACTTTCCAAGACAGGAACTTCGGCTTAACCCAATACTGGATATCACATTAGTTCCATATTTCACATAAAGAGCCGTAGGGACAAGGAGGGAAAAAGGTATTAGAATGGGTGCCAGAAAGGAGTTTTTTAAGTCCTGAATGCTTCTAACTCACTGTGGTCCCCAATGTGAGCAACGAAGGAGCCCTGTCTGATACTCTATGAATCTGGAAGAGCTGAGTCCTAAATTTGCAAATGACTTGCTGTGTAATTTCTGGCAAGGCTCTGGTCCTCTCTGTCTCCTTTCAGTGTCCCCACCTATCCAGCTAAAGAATTTCAACTTAGTCTATGAGTCTCGAAGCACAGGTCCTGATTAAACAGGTGTGTGGTTCTTAAAACCAAGGTAATCAAGTCCTCTCGCCAGCACAAACCTCAGCTTCCCAAACTGTCTAAGGTGGTGGTGGCGGCTCTGATCTCCTAGGTCCTGCTCCCAGATATCACAGAGTTGACGAGGCGCGACTACGGAGCGACAAGGACTCAGACGGAAGAGAAGCACCGTTATCTGCGAGATGCGGAGGCCCGCGGCGTGACGCGTAAGGTGGCGGTCAGCCGCTCTCAGCGCCAGGAGTGGGGTCTGGATCCCCAGGGTGCGGGAGTGCGGCTTTGACCCCGCCCTGCCTCCGCCCCTGCAGACCACACAATAAACCCGACGCACGCCCACCTCTCAGGGCCCGGCCACGACCCCTGTGGCGGCCGTTGGTGCGGGCTTCCTATCAACACGCCTGGGACACAAGCCAGGACGACCCCAAGAGGGACCCGCTGACCGCGCGGGGGCCCGCCCGCTCTCTTCCCGCGTCTCGAGTCCCGTCCCCTCTCCTCACCTCTCGGGTCTGGGCCGTCCCGTGCCACGAGGTACCGAAGCGCGTCCTCCGCCGTGGCCGGACCGAGGGGATAAGGCGGCGCGGGCAGAGGTACCCACTCCCGGGTCGGCCTCCCTTTAACCGGCCCGTCCCCTTGCCCGCCCATTACTCGGCCCCTGGAGGAGGCGGAGCGCGGCCGGGCGGGACTGAGGGGAGCGGCGAGCCGGCAACCGCCAAGAGGTGCGGAAGGCGACTCAAGTGCGAACTCGCGGGCCGCCACTGTCACGTGGCACCACGGCAGAGCGACGCCGCCGCCAGCCAATGACGAGGGCCGGGCTGGCGTGGGGTGCCGCCCCTTGGCCGCTTTCCTCCTCGCGATTGGCTGCCTTATGAAGAAGGGGTCACGCGTCTCTGATTCTTAGGGAGATTGCTTCTTCGCTCCGGCCGCGATGAATCATCTTAGGGGGCAGTTCATGGGTTCTTCGCTTTGGCCCCGAAGATATAATGAGAAAACAGTATCGGGGACGTGGAAATGCTTTACCGAGATATGTAAAGTGCTCTGCGGTTGCGAGGGGCACCATCGTTATCTCTGACTCCTTGGGACCCCGTTACCTCCCAGTCCCTCCTTTGTAGATAGAGAAATGGAGGCCCTGAATGGAAATGAGTGGTCAGCTAGAAACTTACTCTCCACAGAAGGTCCCAATAGGCAGAGGCTCTTTTTAAGATGTAAATGAAAATATAAAAATAAATATGAAATTTAATTACAATCCTCGTTTAAAACCCTCAGTGACTTTCCTTGACACTTACAGATACCAAACCTCTCCCTATGTCCTGGCCCCTTCCTCCTCACTTGGTATCTCTCCTTCCCTCAGTCTTCTCCACCCATCCTGGTTTCCTTTGCTAGCCAAGCTTGTTCTTTCAGGACCTAAACACTGGTGTCTAAACCTGGTTTCTACTCGTCTCCTCGGGTCTCACCCTATCCGCCCACACACGGTTTCCTTAGCACCTTTCCTGCCAGTCACCTCCTACCATGTCGTCTTGATTTAATTATCTGCCCGGAACTGGGACATTATTTTGATGTTGAGCATATGTTTATTAATTTGTTCGTCTTTCCTCTTGAATTGCGTGCGCGGGTGGCGGGGGCGGAAGAGGGGCACAGATGCTGATCAGTAGCTGGGAATGGAAGAGGACTTGTGAAAGAAGCAAAACGGTTAATTGCCTTTCCTTTCCAATGAACCTCCTCACAGTTGTTTAAGGAACTCCCTTTTTTATCCTGAGATGATCCTCAAATTTCTATCACCCATCAGATTCAGAACTTCCAAAAGTCACAAGCTGTATCAAGATCAGAACACCTGAGTTCTACTCCTAATGCTGTCCCTTACCACTGGAGGCAAATCACTTGATTTCAGTTGATGGTCCCATATTTGGAAGGTAATTAATGACCCCATACCCGGGGTCCTGGAGACAGTCAAGTAAAATAATAAATGTTAAAGTATTTTGTCAACTCCCTATAAACTGCAAAACAAGCAGAATGACAACATTTGACAATTTCTGGATATTTATTTCTGGATGCACAAAATTTCACATTTATTATCTTATTTAAGCCTCAAAGCAGCTTTTGAGGAGGTACTGTATTATGATTCTCCCTTTATAGGTGAGGAAATGAGACTCAGATGTTAGGTGGCTTGTTCAAGGTCGCACAGGTTAATAAGTGACAATAACATAACCCAGTTACATCTGCCTGAAAAGCTCACTCTTAACCACTATATCCCCGTGTTAGTCAAATGTAGGAATCCACCCCCATCCTTGCGTGTAATAGACACCACTAAAGAGTAGTTTGATTTAATAATGGCTATCATTTTCTCTCTCTTATTCCATATGTTCTAGTCTATGTTATAGATGAGGAAACTGCGGCTTGGAATATTGTTACTTAACAAGTAGTGAATTTTGAGGTGGGACAGAAGTGGATTTTCTTCCAGGGAGCCGTCAGATGCCAAAACCCCTTTAGGTTAGCCAGTGGTGCCTCTCTCCCTCCCAGTTCAGCATCCTGGGCTGCTATTTAATGTTGTGGTCCCCCTACCTTCCCACATATAAATCCCCCCACAGAGCTATACTTTGATCCGCCACTCCTACCTTACCTTCATCATGCCCTAGTTCTCTGCAGCAGGAATCTAAGATGTGAAACAGATAACCCAACCCCTGCTACTAGAGAGCTGGCTAAATAATAATCTGCTTTTCTTCAATAACAGCATGTCAGCAGCCCAGCCAGCCAGAACCCAGGTCTCTTCACCCCTCCCATCTAAGCCTGGGCATTTTCTCTCTTGTTGATCTCAGAGTTAACACAGGTGGTTGCCAGCTGGATGGTTACATATTATAGCCATTACTCTGTCCCAAATTGCTTTCCAAAGAGTAATGATGTGTTAACTGGGGATGTTATGGGCCAGCAAAAAATCATCTCAGGTTAGAGACCACTTCCGGATTCACTTCCTCAGCCCTTCCTGTCTACGCACTCTTCCCAGGAAGGACAGGTCACTTCCTCTCAGACCCCACTATTGAATGGACTCTTCCCGATTTGTTATTTGGGATTTATTTTCACTACCAAAGCTTTTTTACTTTCTTTTTAAAAATTTAACTCGATTGTTCTTGGAAATAAATAACATGTACAAATAAACAAATTCAAAATATCAAAGACTTTACAATGAAAAATAGATTCTCTTCCCACACTATCCATTCTTACCTCAGCATCCTTTTCTAGAGGCAGACACAGCACCACTTTCCTGTGTTGTCTTCCAGGTTAAGCTATACCAGCAGTTCTCAAATCTGCACATCAGAATTCCCTGGGGGAATTTTTGGAAGGTAAAAATGTTTGGGTCTCACCCCTAGGTGTTATGATTGAGTTGGTATACAGTGGGCGTAGACATTGATATTTTTTAAAATTCCTCCAGAAGATTCTAATGCACATCTACAGTTAACAAGTCAGAGATCTATGCATATACAAGACTCCCTCCCTCAATCAATCAACCAATCAATCTCTCAGATAGATAGATAGATAGATAGGCAGACATATATATATTTTTTAAACACAAGGGGCATGCTATTCTATACTATTCTATACTCTTAAAAATTAATAATATTAAACCTTGAAGATTGTTCCATATCAGTGCATAAAAAGCAGCTTTCTGCCTATATGTTGCTGAGTAACAAATTACTCTAAAACTTAATGGCTTAAAACAACAATAATCACTTTTGTTATTTCTCAGGGTTTCTGTGGGTCAGAAATTTGATAAGAGCTTGACTGGGTGGTTCCAGCTTGGGGTCCCCCATAGAGCTATGTCAGATAGTGGCAAGAGTAGGGACAGGGGATGGGACTGAAGCAGCTGAAGGCCATCTGGACATCTCTCTTCATGTAGTCTTAGGGCCTATTTTGGGGTCTCTGTGTAGGCTAGTTTGAGCTTCCCACACCACGGCAGTTTCAGGGCAGTCTGTGCTTAAATGACCTCTGAAGGCTTTAAGAGTTCTAGCAAGCAAAGGAGGATGCTGTATAGCCTATTAAGATCTAGCCTCAAAAGTCACATACTTCCAAGTCTCCATGGGAGAAGTGTCAAAGTCACAATGTAAAAAGGGCATGTGGGGTGGGAAATGTCACTGTGGCCACCTTTGGCCATGGCAACTGCATTGTATTCCACTGTTTAGGGAGACCATCATTTAAGCATTAATGTTGTTTCCATACCTATTTTTTTCGGGGGCAGGAGTGGGTAATTAGATTTATGTATGTATTTTTTTTTTAATGGGAGGTATTAGGGAGTGAACCCAGGGCCTTGTGCATGCTAGGCATGCACTCTCCACTGAGATACACCCTCTGCCCAGGAAGTAACCATTCTCAAGAAGAGATCCCTTCTTCCTGTTGGCCTTTGAGGGAAATTGGGCTGAACCGTCCCAGAGGGAGAAAGAATGGACAGCCAGTAGTCAGAGGGAAAGGAGACTTAAAAGCCACCCCTGTGGGTCTAGGCTTCATAGGGTCCTTGAATGGCAAGGACCTGAGTCTCTCCCCGCCCTGGAGAGGTGGGAGGCTTTCCCACAGGGATGGCTGTTGGTGACCCTGGGAGCCGGGAGCCATAGCAAGGACCCTGGAACCCTGGCAGAGAGCAGAACTGTTTCAGGGGCCATACCAGCTTGGATGAGGGCTGTATTTGTGGTAGCAGAATGGACCAAACAAAGGTCAGAGGGCTTTTCTCTGGCTGGACTGAGTTAGACTAACAGGACTACACATGTGCCGTGGGTAGGGCAGTGGTCACGGTAATTGCTGGGATTGGATATCCTGCCTGCACTGTGGGGTGGAGGCTTGGAGCATATAAAATTTGATTTGGAGAAAGAAAAGAAATGTGACTCTTGTACCTGAGGTGAAGCAGTACAAGTCACTCTTGCTATAATATTCAGGTACAGAAAGTGATCTGTTATTTGACGTTTCACGGTGGTCATAAGCCCCAGTATCCCAGATTTGTTCTTTCAGGGTTATGAGCTAGATACTGTGAGAAACGCTCATTCAAAACAGAACATGATCTTTACACTAACATATTGACTCTCCCATTATTTCTTTACTTAAACTCTTAATGTTTTTTGATAGCCAGAACAATATCTTAAAATATTAGTAGTTGAAGTTGTTCTTTCTGGTCAAGTTTTTTATAAGGAGTTAAGAAAAGAAACAAGTGTGCAAATACTTAACTGCACAAATGTTCATTAAGAAAACCAAAAATATTGGGGGTTGGGGGGTAGCTCAGTGATAGTGTGCATGCTTGGCACGCACAAGGTCCTGTGTTCAATCCCCAGTGCCTCTGTTAAAGAAAAAAGAAAAAGAAACAGCCTAAATAACCAACAATTAGAAATATGTTAAATAAATTATGATACAGACATCCAATGGAAGTATTATGAGGCCATTAAAAAGCATGTGGTAATGGAATATTTAATGGCACAGAAAGATGTTTACATATATTGTTAAACCAACAAAATATATACTGTACAACAACAGTTTTGTTTTAAAAATTATATTTATATGATTGGCAAAGGTGGACGTATATCCAAATGTCTCTCTGGTTGATAACTGTTATGTTATTTTTGTTTATCTGTATTTTCTCAATTTTCTACAGTACAAAGATATATTACTTTAAAAAAAGAAAAATAATAAAAGTAGGAAAATAAGTATATTTGCATTACTTCTGCTTTATACTGAATATCACTGCCTCATACTCAGCTTACATTAAAAATCTTTTT